CGACAAAGCTAAGAACTTTGTGGCGAAAAAATATAGGAAAATAATAAAATATAAAGTAATTCTTTATTTTCACTCATGCGAGGACGCCATTTTAGTCAAAATGTGCGTGGGCTCGTTTGGGTTTGAAACGTAAGAGCATGCGCATTAGGATATCGTCGTTTTTTGCTTTTTCATCCCTTTTGATGTTTTAAAGCCCTGTTTGAACGGATCCAACATTGTTGGCGCCAACATCATCCAACATTGTTGAAATAATGGCCCAAACGGCTTCTTTTTCAAATATTTTTGTCAAGACTAGGTTTAGAGTTTGAGTAAAGCTTATCTAACCATGCAAAAAGATTTGAAAGAGAAGCAGTCATATCTAGTATAGTAACATTGTTGGATGATATTGGTCCAACAATGTTGGATTGATAAAAGGGGGCAGCTTCCCTCCCACTCCCGGACAAATAACCCACCCCTACAACCACAGCTATGATGGAAGGCTCAGTTTGGGGCTTGTTAATTCTAACCCACTCTGTCAACATTCCCTGTGGGAAAAAACCAGAGTACCCAGAGAAAACCCACGGTAGAGCGTTGATTGACTCGTTACATAAGCCCGCAGCGAAAATCGAGCGCGCCCATGATATCAAAAGCATGATTAACGCCATATTACATTATTTGATCATTTTGATGCGCAGTAAACATGCATAATCGTAATTCCATATGTATTTATAACCTGATTTTAATATCTTTGTGTGAAAATATTTTGTGAAAATATGTCGACTGAAACTCCTGAATGAGCTGACCCACCGGGCTCTTCCCACTTGTGACGTATACGGCATACCCTCAGTAATCCAATATGGCGGACAGCTCATTGCCGCTTTCGGTCAAAATATTTCAAGAATATGAAAAATCTGTAACAAGATTTCATAGATAATTTTAAACGTTCTTTCAAATAAGACAATAAAAAAATTTGTTGTCATTGCCCATTAATTAATGCATACCACTATGGCAGATTCTCACAATAAAATTTAATTGAAAAACAAGAAAACCGTGCATGGTTTTATAACAGTCATATTTGTCTTTCATCACCGCAACGGGGTTTTCAATACATTTCTCTGAATATAATTTCACATCATGCTGTTGTTTGCCTTTGCCAAAAACCGCAGGTTTTTTGACAGAAAATTACTTTATCATATAGATACTGAATTACTCAAGCGAAAATTCGTTTTGCAACGTAGGCTAAAGCAATCAGAAAAGCGAAACCATTTTCTCACACGTGAGAAAAACGTTTCGTTTGGACAAACGTACAATTGATGCAACGATGACGTGCGTACGACTGAGTAAATTTAATCACGACAGGAAATGAATTTTCTCGAGTAAGATCAAGTCGCGTATAGCCATGGGCCGACACTATTCCCAGAAGTTGTGTTTTGTCTTGTTTGACCTCAAATCTAATGCCAGTTTGTTAATCCGAGTGTTAATCAAATGATACAAACTGTGGCACAGTAAGGGGCTGTTTATGTGAAGCGGGCTTGCCCAGCTATGCGGAGTGATTAAGTTTACACTTAATCTAAACCGAACATCTATATCAAAAACAAAGTTCGTAACAAAAGGCGAGCATATATACTAATATACGGAGTCACTGAAAAGGCCCGGGAAATTATATTAGGCCGACAGCTGCTTACTGCAAGCACTGGGAATCGAAGCCTCGCCCAGAGGTAAAAACCACACGAACAAACTACAGTGCAAGAAACTATGGTCTTCTCAGTTTTTGAAAGAAATACAAAATTTGTCCTGACGAAAAGTGGGGGTCGGACCCCCCCCCGTGGCTACGCCTCACAAAAAGAAGGGAAAATGGATGAAAAACGTCGTCACAGTTTTAACAATGGGCTATACCATGAAATTATGGTGTTCAAAAGCCTGGCATGTTGCAACTCAACAGTCAACACTGAGCAATTAACATTCAAATCCTCTGTTCAACTTTCAACGCAAGACATCTTTATTAAACTTTTGTAATCCCACACATCAACGTTAAAGCCTCGGTCAAACGGAGATGAGAGTTGCAACTCGTTTGACCGCCAACCCTTATCGACTCTCATGCACCCTTACGAGTGAGAATGTTGATGACAGTTGATGAGAGTTTTGGCTATACGCGTGCGGTACTATCCAGTCAACTACCATGCAAATCTTGTTCTCATTTGACCGGGGCATGAAATTCCAATGACAAAATTCCCATGCAAACTCTCGCTTCTCAACTCTCATAGCTTCCCGAAAAAAGGTTAAAAATTTTTTTCGTTAAATAGTTAAATTATAAAGGTTCAAAAATGTTTTTCCTGACAAATACCTGTAAAAAACACAGGTAAACACACTTTTCGCACCAATACCAATAAAATTAAGGTCTAAAATTTTTTCTCATACCATTATTTATATAAGAAACGTGTTCCAAATAAATTTTATTTTTTGTTAACTTTTGGGGCCCCCTTTAACTGGGGACCCGGGCCAATTTCCCTCCCCCCCCTCCCCTCTGAGACTAGAGCCTGTGTTTTATACAATACGGTTAAAGTTGAAAACTCAGACTTTGAAGAAAATGAATCTTAATGTATGCCTGCAGAACTCATGCGATGCGTGAAAATCTTAATGCGTGAAACTCATTTTCCCTCAAGTAAAATTTCAATAATTTTTAATTTGATTTGTTTTTCGATTAATTTTTCCGCGATGTAGTTATTTTAAGGCCCAGACAAGCAGAAAGTGGTTCGACACGCGGCGGAATTTTTCGATTTTTACCAACATAAAACTTTCGGATTCTGGTTTAAGTTTTTGAAATATTTAGAAACGCTATAACCCTTTGAGTTATCTACTTTATATTTGGTCAACATATCTTTCTTGATGTCAAATCGCGTTGCCGAATCGCGTCCGAAGAAGTTCTCTGCAGTATCAGAATAATATGCAACTAGTTTTTTCATGTTCTCTAAGAAGCAATCCTTGATTAAATACCTCAACAAGGCAGGAAAATGTCCATTCGTGTTAATTGAAACAATATTTTGGCATATAAAATAGCTAGTTTCTGTGAAATTAATTACAAATTTCACCGGCAGACATCGTAAATTTTGTCCAGACGTTCGTTAAGAAGCCTCGGCATTTTAAACAAAGGCCTAACTCCGCTTTTAAATCGACTGTAATAAGCTAGATGTTATTATCTATTTGCAAACAGCCTCTTCGCGTTTGTATAAACACAACCAGCTGCATATTTCGAGCATTTATTAAACATCAGTTCCCTAGTGAGATAAAATAATTTGTTTGTGACGCAAGACCCGATAAAGGACACACACAGGACTCGCTAATTTTTTCCCGCTGGGCTTGGTACATAAACTGCAAAGTTTAACAACACAGATTGATTAGTTGAGCTCTGTACTGCACCGAAGCAAAGCTACTGAACTTTACTATTGAAAATTTCAAGTATTCGGCGTACTGATTAAATTGGACTCCAATCAATTAGAACGTTTTGGCCATTGGTTATTTCTACAGCGAGAACGGTTTACAAACTTTAAATTACGGTAACTTTACTGAAGAAACGCTACTAAATTACCAAACTTTTAATCATCGTACGTATAATATAGCTAACATATTATACTCGCTGGAAGGCGCAGTTCTTTTTTGCAAGTTTGTATCTAATATTTCAAAGTAAAGCGATTTCTGAACAATCTTCGAAACTTTTGGAATTCAACGCATCTTTTGTCTAATTCACACTAATTGCGCTAAATCATTTTGGAAGATTGCATAAGGCCGGACCGCCAGAAATCTTTTGGAAATCGCTCTTTAAGCGGCACCATAAGCGTAAAACATTGAAATTCCTTTCGATCGTGTTAATTTGTTGCAGCCCAGAGGCAGCGATTTGTTGCTGCGTTGTCCATATTTAAGACTTGCCAACGGAATCGATCATTTTGGGGAACTGCGATTCTGTTGGCCTTTTATAGCAGGTGCAAGGGAACTGATTTTGTTGCTACAGTGTGAAATTTGAACCATACGCTCAATCAACACAGTTTTGAATCAAACTGTTCGAAAAGCCTTTGCAGCTGGGAATTTCAGTGACACGTCTCTGAAAGTCCCTCTGTGAACTATAGAAACTCGAAGTGATATTTGGCTATCGTTGCCAGACATTTTAATTAACACAAATTTGTGAATCAAGCTGTTTGGACGTCTATAAAGCTTCGAGCAATCTGTGACTGCATGAACTGATATCTGGCGACAACGATTAGTGAATCAACGTTAGAAAGACCTCTGTATTTCAAAGTCAATTACATTGCAACTTTTGGACACACCCTGTAACGCTCTACGAACAATAGGAACTCGAGTTGAGCCGTTTAGCCCGAGGATCCTTGAGTCAAGACAAAGAGGCGATCAAACTAATCCGCAAGTTAATTTGTCCTGAATTTCAGCATTTGTTCAACCGCGAAGCGAAGAACTGTGGAACATTATTTATACTCCAAAATCCGGAATTATAACTGAAGTGTAATACCAAGACACTCAAATTCCCGAAGCTGAGCGAAGCAACTATAGTAAAACATAAACACACTCGCGTCTTCGGTTGACGTGCCAATTAGCAAACACTCCCCCCAAATTTCCCCACACACCAAATTTCCCCACCAGCTACAAAGAAGAGATCAGCACTAAAGCATGTCTAATACCACCACCCCAGGTGATGCCCACGTGAATTTCTACTACGTATTTACTATAATCATACTATGTGTCTTCATCCTAGTCGCATTCTTTGGCAACCTTATCGTGATCGTCATATTCTTATCAACCAAAGAACTTCAAACCCAAGTGAACTATTTCCTCGCATCCTTGGCCCTGGCAGACCTGCTTACGGCTATATTCCCCATGCCTTTATGGCTCGCTGTCAAGATTAACGTCAACGGATATTGGCCATTCAGCATAGGATTATTAAAAGTATGGCGTTGCGCAGATCTAATATTCTGTAGTGCTTCAGTTTGGAATCTTTGTGCGATCAGTATAGACCGATGTCTGGCAATATCCCGGCCATTCCTACACCGAACTTGGCTCACTTCATTTCGCGTCAAATGCGCGGTAGGTATGGTTTGGGGATACTCGTGTACGCTGGCAATACTCATCACGGACACCGTGACATGGAAGAAACGAGGTCTCCTGATATCCTGTTTATCCTATTATATCCCTGCTGTCATTATAGTTGCAGCTTATCTGATCATTTACATCTCCCGAATAAAATCCAGGTTCGAGTTAGCCCGTCAAGAGAACATCGATGTATCCTCGAGCAACCGTTCCAAGCAAGATCTAAGGATGGCGAAGTATATGATATTGTTGATTGCATCGTTCCTAATCTGTTGGGCGGGTCATTTTATTATGGGTACCATTATGTCGTTCACCACGCTGCCACGACTCCACCCCTTTCTCAAAGATTGTATAAAAGGAATGAGTTATCTAAACTCGGCCCTAAACCCCTTCTTGTATGGTTACGTCAGCCCAAAGTTTCGCGTGGCTTTCATGCGAATATTATGCAAGTGTTGCCGAAAAGACTCGCGTCACGCGTGGACACAGATGAGTCCCGCGCGCAGCACATTCTCGCGCAGAACATCTTCGACAAAAGTCGCGATCGGCCAACGACACTCTACAGCTTCTCAAGAAGACGCGGTTTGAACTTTCTAATTCTGGGCCGGTTGTTCAAATCAGTAAAGGGATTTATGGTAATTACGGTAATACATCCTTGCGAAAAGTACGCCATTTTGACTATATATAGAGTCTCGTTTTCATGTGACATTAGTTATACCTTCAACATCATAGAGATTATAAATAACACTAGAGGGGGCATCGTAATTTGAATTCAGTCAAAGAAAGGGAACGCGGCTATTTGGGGGCAAAAAATTAAAATGCTAACTGAGAGCGAGTTAAAATCTTTAAATTCTTGTATTTTTAACTCAATTTTGTCCATAACACATTTTTGAGAGCGCTCCAAAATAATGCTGATGTCAGCAATTTTGATCTTTTCAAAATCGTTTGAATTCAAAATTTTGAGGTAATGTTTGTAGTGATGACATGCAAAACATATAGAACACCCAGTTTTGGGACTCTTGTTTTAATTTTTTTTGGTTTCAAGTGTAACCCAAGAATTGTGTGATGTTCATCCGGGATTTCAATTTGCCCCCATTACCGCGCTCCCAAATTTCACCCTCGACGCCCCCTCTAGTGTTATTTATAATCTCTGTGTTCACTATGTTGCTGTCTGGAAGGGTGTATTACACAAGTTGGTCGATTGATATCGCAAACTGAAAAGTAAAAAAAAACATAATAGAAAAGGGAGATGTTAGAAAACAAAGACAAAACTGTTGGCTTATAATAGTGACAATGGGAGTCTCCTATATCTATAGGGGATAGATAGACTGTTTATATAGGATATATACTGTATATGGCATTTGTTTGAAGTGGTGAAACCATAGATATCTTATATACACTAGATAGTGCATCTAATTATTCTGCAATTCAAAAATTGAAGCCGTGATTGCAGTCTCAAGCCGTTCCCATGAAATGAGAAGATTCGTATGTTTTCTATTTCTTAAACAGGGAACTTAAACATCAAGTTAACCCTATTCCAACTACGTTTTTAAACTATTCAAATGATGAAAGTTATTGTTGTTTTTAAGCGTTTATTAGCAAGTGGGAACGACCAACATGGCCGCCATCTATTCAAATGGGGGTAACCGCTGGAATATTCTTGGCTTCAATTTTACTAAAAGAGATGCGCTATCTAGTGTATATAAGATATCTATGGGTGAAACTATAGATTTAAAAATATTGTACCATAGCCCAAATATGTAAAGTAGCTGTATAATGGGGTATAAAATTGAAATGTATTCTTAATAATATATAGTTATAAAAACATGATAGAATGTACTATTGGTTGCCTCTAAGAATGAACAGTCGCTATAAAAAACATTGTCAATGCTCGCGTAAAGGCCTAATTCCACGACAAGCGAAATGCGAAAAATTTCGAGCGAAAACACACTTGTGCGAAAATTTTCTCTCGTAGCGATTTCCACACTTGGAGAAAAAATTCGCCAAAACAAAAGCATTTGATTGGTTTCGCTATTTTGTCATCCAAAAGACAAGCATTTGATTGGTTTCGCTATTTCCATTTCGCAAGGGAGTAGAAACGAATTCAACTACCCGGCGAAGAGAAATATTTCGCTCAGGAACATTCCCAAATCATGTTGCGCATGCGTTCAACCTTTTCGCGCGAAATTTTTCGCATTTCGCTCGTCGTGGAATTAGGCCTTAAGGCCGCTTCAAACGTTTCTATGCGCTGAACCATGGCTGAACTGTATCTTGGACATAACTCTTGAGACCATTCCAGCCAATATCACAAAGTTAATGCACGGTGACAAAACGATCTTCGTCACTCCCTCTTCTCCAGTTCAATGTTGTGAACATTAAAGGCCCCTTTACACTTGCGATTTTCGTCTTTTGATGGATGTGAACGAGTGGATGAGTTATGAATGTCCAGATGAAGGTAGATCATAGATATAGGAGATCTAGATTGCTAACGCATACCTAGCGCAGGCGGGGCCTACATGATAAATCCAAGATGGTGGTACAACAGGGCAAAAAGACTATAGATTCTATTACGAAAATCAGGATTTTTGCATTTTTTGCCGTCGCATTGTTTTGAAACTTATTCGGTCAAATTTTATGGTAAAGAGAAACTTACCGCGAAGATTTTGAGCATATATATGATTGAATTGGATGAAAATTCGCAAAATTACCCAGCGATAAAAGTTCGTGTATAGTACTGATATAGTACTATATATGTAACTTGTACAGTTTTGCTTTAATTTTTGCTCACCATTTGCATAAAAAGCAAATTATAACAGACCATAGATGATAGACCCTCATCCAGTGCTCTCATCAGTTTACTTCTCTAACAAGCAAGGAGGGGAAGGGGGGGGGTACATAACAGTTCATTTTTCATAATTATGAGGACAGAGCTCATGATGATGAGAGATGCAAGTATAAAACATTATTCACAAGGCTAGATGTTAACATAGCACAGTATTTCTGGCAATAAAACGCTCCAACTGACCAACTGACCATTTCACATGAACTTTTATCGCTGGATAATTTTGCGATTTTTTATCCAATTCAATCATATATATGCTAAAAATCTTCGCGGTAAGTTTCTCTTTACCATAAAATTTGACCGAACAAGTTTCAAAACAATGCAACGGGAAAAAATGCAAAAATCCTGATTTTCGTAATAGAATCTATAGTCGTTTTGCCCTGTTGTACCGCCATCTTGGATTTATCATGTAGGCCCCGCCTGCGCTAGGTATGCGTTAGCAATCTAGATCTCCTATATCTATGGGCACAATCCGGAAAAGTCGGGCAAATTTGTTTCCGCCCCCCTAATGTTTTCCTTCCGGTACGCCCATGGCCAGAGTTTATTTTAACATGCAGTTCTACACAAAATGTGCAGTTCTAAATCCATTTGTGCAGTCCTTAAAACTCAAATGTGCAGTCACCGAACTAACAAAAATAGTCTTAATTAAAACAGTCGTCTCATTTACTCGTTACCCTTGTGGATGCTCCAGAAAATTCCAGAATTGCTGTCCTTAATTGAGCATCAAAAATATAAACGTTTTCTGGGGGAGGACTCCAGACCTCCTATTTTCCTCACAAATCACTTACGTGCTGGCGTAATGGAAAATAAAGTAAAATTGGGGCGAGCGAAGCTCCCCAAAAGAGATTGGAGTGGGAGAACCTAATATTCATAACAATCTTAAATTTGCATTTGAGGCAGCTACCGGGGGTAATTGTTAGGTTAATGTTACTGGCACGTTTGTTGGTTTGTGTGCAATAAAACATAAAGTTATTAATTAGTTAATACGAACTGTATGATTACTTTCTTTCTAATTCATTCGGAAAAGAAGAAATGGCTATATTTTTCATTTTTACTTTTGAGTAATTGAAATAAGTGAGTTCACACCATATCGAATATCATGTTGAATGCCATGTTGAATCTCATGCGTATACGCTTCACAGTGGTTGTCCGCCATCACTCTGAGCATTTTCCTCGTTTAATAACAATCGCGACGCTTCGTCAAGATTACTAGCACAATTTTTCAAAAGTTCCCTATAGCTGTGTTCCCACAAATATTTCCACGAGAGGATGTCATAATTTAGGATTTGCGAAATATTTAGATTTTAAATTCAGCGATGTATAAAAACATGTGCATGTACTATAAAAATTTCAAGTTCCTTGCCCACGTGCTCTAGCAGCCCGTAAGCTCGCAAAGGATCATAATTAAAGTTATATGAAAAGTCGTGTGTTATCCGAAATTTATAGCGTTATATGAAAAGTCTTGTGTTATCCAAAATTGAAAGTGTTATATGAAAAGTCGTGTGTTATCCAAAATTGAAAGTGTTATATGAAAAATCGTGTGTTATCCAAAATTTATAACGTTATATGAAAAGTCGTGTGTTATCCGAAATTTATAGTGTTATATGAAAAATCGTGTGTTATCCAAAATTTATAACGTTATATGAAAAGTCGTGTGTTATCCGAAATTTATAGCGTTATATGAAAAGTCGTGTGTTATCCAAAATTGAAAGTGTTATATGAAAAGTCGTGTGTTATCCAAAATTGAAAGTGTTATATGAAAAGTTGTGTGTTATCCGAAATTTATAGCGTTATATGAAAAGTTGTGTGTTATCCGAAATTTATAGCGTTATATGAAAAGTCGTGTGTTATCCGAAATTTATGGCGTTATATGAAAAGTCGTGTGTTATCCGAAATTTATAGCGTTATATGAAAAGTCGTGTGTTATCCAAAATTTACAGCGTTATATGAACAATTGTGTGTTATCCAAAATTTATATTGTTATATGAAAATGAAAATCTTATCTTAAAATAGAATAACATTTTTGACACCGATGACGCGCCATAGGCTTGCTTTCTTGGACCCTACGGTTCATACCACAAAACAAGCTATACAGTACTTCGTGTCTGTAATCGCTGCCATCTTTCTTCCTCACTTCTAAAGCAAATTTGCTCAGCCAGTAATTAATTTCTTCCAAAATAATAGAGTCTAAATTTGGAATCCTCTGAAATTCGTTTCTTTCTGCCTGAAAATCTTTAAACTGCTCGTTCCTCTCTTTAACCCACGCGTTGTATACATTTGTACTCCACGTAATGTGCCTTATGGTATTCTTTGGCACTCTATCTTTTCGAACATTTTCAACTGTCCGGTCTGACACAAAATAGAACTTTCCAGTTGCAGCCATATTCGAAAACTAAGTTTAAAATCAATGCAGTGATTTACATAAGTCACACAACAACAAAGCATGTCCCAAAGGTACACTTATTTCAATCAATAGTCAAACTCATAAACAACTTCATTGAAAAATACAAAATCAAACAGCTAAACTTATCTCTGCAGCAAACTTTTTTTAGTTTTCCTCGCCAATCATAACATTACAAATTAATATCATGACTAGTCGGGAAATTAGCGATTAAATTTCCCTTCGCCTCGGGAAGATTTGTGAAAGTCCGAGGACTTTCACAAATCTTCCCTCGGCGTCGGGAAATTTAATCGCTAATTTCCCTCTAGTCATGTTATTACTTATAAATATATCCCCAAGGTTGGCAACTAAATACAAATTTAAAACTGTATACACAAACTTAATGACGAAAAAACTCGCACATAAACATCGAAATTCATTGAAAAAGCTAACTCACTATGGTAAGAAATAACTTTAGTACTTCTACATTATACACTTAATGTCTGCTCCCGAGGGAAATAGTTTTGTTTAACCGAGAATCTCAATGTTTTCCGAGACGAAGTCGAGGGAAACATTAAGGTTCAAGGGAAAACAAAGCTAACTATTTCTCGAGGAAACAGGCATTAAGTGTTTTGTTATATAGCGACGAACAAAAATCAACTTCAACAACATTCATACAACAATTGTATTTCGTGACAAAAACTCTATAGTGTAAACGAGTTTAAAATTAAACGAACCTACTTAACGGTTTCAGCAGTATATCCTGTTGCCTGTTGTGTATTTTTCTTCTCCTTTATATTCTTTATTTGAACACAAACTTGGAAAATCGTTGTTTCTAATTATCTGAGTTGTGCCTCCATTTTGTTTATTTATGTACGTGGCCGGTCGGGACGGGCAACAATTTTTCACTTGTTGCCCGGCGGGAAACATTGCATTTATCTGAAGTCACGTGACCACAAATCAGCCAATCACGTTTGGTGTTCACGCTAGCTATATAACAATGTGTTTTTTCTTCTCTCATCACTTTTAAACGAGCTAATTTTGCGAAAATTCAGAGGAAAATGGCTCAATTTGGTCAAAACTATGCGGGATCACTGATGACTGCTCCCGGTGTTACGTCACAAAATAAAGCTCTCTGATTTGATGAAACTGTTTAAAATTTCAAAAAACTCTCCGATTGGCTGGCTGAAATTTCCCAGCGAATCAGAGAGCTTTATTTTGTGACGTAACGCCGGGAGCCATCATCCCGCATAGTTTTGATCAAATTGAGTTACGAATTTGATAAATTTTCCTCGGAATTTTCGCAAAATTAACTCGTTTAAAAGTGATGAGAGAAGAAAAAAACACAATGTAGAAGTACTAAATTTATTTCTTACCATACTGAGTTAGTTTTTTTTAATGAATTTCGATGTTTATGTACGAGTTTTTTCGTCATTAAGTTTGTGTATACAGTTTTAAATTTGTATTTAGTTGCCAACCTTGGGGATATATATTACATAATGACACAACGCTATTGTGATGTTACACGTACGTTATATAATACAAAATATAGAGGTTTTACTGTACATTGAAGCATTGCATGTCAAAGCATTGCATTTTAAAGCAAATCATGTATGGATTTTTTTTTAATTAAAAGATCTTTTCGGGAAACCTATGATGCATATAATAAATAAATAATCACACGGAAAAGTCGTGCAATTAATGATTAACACTACTCGTGATATTTTAAAAATGTGCCAAATTGCACTCGCCTCGGCGGCTCGTGCAATTTTGGCACATTTTTCAAATATCACTCGTAGTGTTGATCATTAATTGCACTCCTTCCCGTGTGATTGCCTATACAAATAACATATACATCGAGTGTGGCAGCAAGCAGCTTGGAAATATACAGCTTAATTGCGTGTATCATAAATCTCCTTTAAAGTTGCGAGCTCAGCTTGCAGTATCATGTCCCGAGTTTCTGGTAATGAATAACATATTTATTGTAAGTTCTATAGATATTGAAAATACATCAATAGACATGGTCTTTAAAAGAATTTACCAACGCGGCATCAAAATTAAAATTTTAAAAATGAAAATTATAGCTACTATAGAGTTTAGCCTATAGAATATTTACCGTTAAATATTCTAGACTAAACTCTATAGTATAATTTGACTGGAACCAGGAACCATGCATGTATGCATATAGACCCCATTCCAGATATTGCACGCATGCCTATTTGCATAAAGAAATTGCTTTGAACTAATTAAACTATTCACTATACAGTACCAAGCTAGTGAAACAGGCATATTTTCATTTTATCTCAATTAGGAGATGATGTGTGAATGTTTTTATACGATCATTCTCATTGCCATTGGGTATTCTGCGGCAGTCTATACGCCAGAAGGGCCTTAATTCGCTCGAAACGTCGAAGTTCTCTTCGTAATTTTCAAGAGCTAAACTGTAATTAGCATATACTTTGCAAGCTAGGTCTTTAAACTTTGATTCTGAAAATTATCATATTATTCTAGTCACCTTAGACTTTCCCAAAGTCCTTCCAGCTTTATTTTTCGTGGTTCGTATCTGTACATACGTGCATTTTCTGGATAGAGAATTTATGACTTTAGCTATTAAATATAGACAAAGCTTGCAAATGCATGTGTCAATAGGTGAAGGTATAGTGATGTTTGCTTGTATAAATCCGATAAAATTCTTACCTATACTTGAACATGATTTGAAAGTATTTTTTATAATAATGGTAATCGAACAGTCTTTCAGATTGTCGGATTTGACTGGAAAAAGGTTCGCATGATGTCACTGAGGTCGCGAATGTAATAAAAATATAAGATAAGATAAGAAAAGATCTGACGCGTTCAGTCGGAATTGGTAAAGCCAGCAACGCTGTTCTGGCAACCTCTTGAGGTAAGACGACTATTTCTGCTCTATCTATGATATCGATATTATATTCTAAAATTTCTGAGCCCTAACGGGAATTGAACAACGTGACCTTCTGATAACCGGACAGACGACGCTCTAACCATTGAGCTATAAGGCATCAGATGGTGAGCCAAGGTTACGTTATTTACTAGTTCTTTGTGTTACATGTGTACTGCTAACTGCAAATCTCGACATGTCTTGTTGATGTTATTATTAAGAACTGCAATTTCGGTATATGTGTGTTTTTGTGGCAGCTTGCGGAATATTTGATTTGGTGTAGATGCGTATCAAGCCTAAGGTATAACAACATTAAGGTATAACATTAAGGTATAACAAATCAACAAAATCCACTAGGCATCTTTATTACTAAATAGTTTCGTACCACAGTATGTGGCACTCTTCAGATAAATTGACCTAAATTAGGTCAATTTATCTGAAGAGTGCCACATACTGTGATACGAAACTATTTAGTAATAAAGATGCCTAGTGGATTTTGTTGATTTGTTGTACCTTAATTTATATATATATATATATATATATATATATATATATATATATATATATATATATATATAT